TTAGAGGTTAATGCAGAATTATTGGGACAAAAATATTGAAAGAAAAATTTTTGATGAACTTTTTGAAAGAAATTTGGGCATTTTACCAAAAAAACACATAATATTGACTTTTTATTGATGACACCCCATATTCGGTTTTACCTAGGTGTGCTTTTTTTTTTTTTCCACTTGGATGAAAATGCTCTCATACTTTTACTTAAATGACTTGATCATAGATGTTATTCAAAAAACTCTAATTTTAATAATTAATTATCATAAAAATTTTAAAAAGAAAAATAATACTAATCATTTTAGAATTTATCCTATTAATTCCGAAATGATTAGTATCACCTATTTTATTTTTTGAAAATTTTATGATAATTAATTATCGATCTTTTTTAATAACATATGTGATCAAGTCATTTTAGTAAAAGAACAAGGTTATTTTCATCTAAATAGAAAAAAAAAATCCCCAATTAAAAATGAATATGAAGGGTGTCATCCGATAAAAAATCAATAGTGGAGACTTTTTCTAGTAAAATGCCCATGAAATTTAGACTGTTCTCATCCACTTGAGCTTAAATAGTCAAATAAATATAAGGAAAGAGATTTCACTCTCTTCTTTTAATCATTTCCTATTGAAGCTTGCTACTCATAGCTTATTTTTTATTATTGACAACCTCTTGTTATTGAAAATTCCTTAAAAAATAATAAAAATATTATTTGATTATTTACAACCTCAATATTACTAATTTTACCCCTTTTTCTTCCCCATAACCCCTTATTAGTCGAGGTTGCCGCCAATGCTGCTCTGTGTTGTCGTCCAACCCAGCTCACCATCCCCTCGACACCATCCTCAAAGGAGGAAGAAAAAGAGAAGGAAGAAGAAGAGGAGGAGAAGAAGATGATGAAGAGGAGGAAGAAGAGAGTATTTACGTACATTTACAAATGAGTAGTTTATACATATTAAAAAAATTTAAAATGAGGTTATAAATAGTAAAATAGGGATTGTAAATAGTAATCTCATTTCCCATTTCCTATTTCTCCCCAGAAAATGGTGTACCAAGTTCTTGTTATCACTTGCCTTGTCAAGATGGTGAAAGATAAGGTTTCACTGTGTCTGCCTTGTCACCCATTCCCTTTAAACCTCCTCTTAAAAGCTAACACCAATTCAAGCAGAAGCTCAAATGGACAGGGAGAATTTCCACTAGTAAAAGCTAGAGAACAGCTGAAACATGTGGCTCCCCACATGCCAACTCTAAAGGATTTAAGGCCTTAGCTTTACACATCCATGTTAAAGCCAGAAGAAGGCAACTGCCAGGGCCCCATCAGAGCTCAAATTTGAAGGAAACGCTACATCATTCCCAATCCAACCCTTGCCCCTCTTCTCACCATTCATTTTCAGATTCTTTCTAGTTTTACTTCCAACACCGTTATCCGTTTTATCCTTCGAGGTATAGTAAATTTACTACCAGACACCAGTCGGTCACCTTGTTGGCTTCCTGCAAAAGATATGGCAGAAAGTAACATCAGCAAACTTGTACAAAGTTCAAGCAGTTCTTAACAAAATATAATGTTCTTGTTGCATAACCAAGCACAAAATTCAATTTGTTGTCATCCACCAATTTCAGTATGTAACATGCCATTTGACATTTGTCATTTATGGGATCAGTGCTCTTCTTTGATGGTACCAGGCAGGTTCAGATGGTGTTTCCAAACAGATGAGATTGTGTGGTAAGCAGGACTTCATAAAGTGACATCCTTGGGCCCTCCTCCACAGAGCAATCCAGTTGCACCCTGCAAGAGACCATGTGCCTTCAAGATCTTCAACCTCTGGTGGAGAATTTATCTAAGAAGCATTGAGGATAAGAGGAGAAGAACAAAAGAACAGGAGAAAGAGTGGCGGGGAGTGCCCATGAAGCCAGATCTTTTCTTGCCATGTCAATGGGGAAGGCTGTGAATCCCCTTCTACAATACAAGGCATCAAGTGGCTCATGACATAGATTCTGTCTCAGTTGCCCAGATTTAATGGGAAAAAAATACTGGTTTGACTTCACCTGAACATAAACCATATCATGCATGATTGCAAGGGCAATCCAGTTGCTGAAGAAAGTGAGCAATTAAGTTGAAAATAACAATTTATGTAGAATGAGAACCAGAAAAGGAATCTATATCACAGGTTTGATGACCCAAAAGTCTTTCATGGATGATAGCTTGTTGAACAAAGATTTCTTGGCGATGCAACTATCTGCCTGCCAGCCAGCCTTTGATGGGAGGAAAAATGTCTTTTTTCCACAGATTAATGGATGAACAACAGTGTCAACCACAGGAAATTGTACATTAATCATTAGGTCTGGAAAAGCTCGAGAAGAAATATTATTTTGTTGCTCCCACGTCATTAAGGAAAGTGTGCACAAAAATCCAAAAACAGACAAAAAAATACATGTAAATCTCAGAAATTAAAAACAATGTGAAGGATCGGATGAAAGAAAAGGAGATGACTTCATTTCAGAACCACCAAAACAGACATAGAAAAAGGCCAGAGAAGGTCCTCATCAAAGTTGTCTTTTTTTACAGGAGTAAAGTTGAAACGCCACCTCGCTCTGTGATGCTCCATCGATAGCTTTCAGATCTTTTTGGGTTGTGGATGAGATCGACCAGCGTCAGTCATGCACACAAGGCGTTCGGTCCATGATCTGAATTGTGGATGGAGTCGCGCCTCCCGGGGATTTATAATGGGAAAGATCTCAGTTGGTTCGTTTAATGAGAAGACCTTATCCTCCTCTTCTTCTTGATCCACCGACACGTGTCCGTGAAGTAACGGGGACTTGCTTGTCCGGAGAGGACGAAGAAGCGATGACGTGGCGACGGATGCCCGGGTGACCTGTTGCTTCCGGTCATGAATCCGAGAGCTATGGAATGCAATTTTGGCCTAAACTTTTAATGGGTAATTCAAGAAAAATAATACTCTATATAATTTTTCATTATTCGGTTAAATCTCAATCATATTACATAAAGCACGGTATGAGAATTAAATGTTTATTTTATTAAATATTTTTATTTCAATTTCTTGACTTGGATGCAACAGCTGGGCTCGGCCGCTGATGTAGGCGTGCACACTTAGTCAAACGAGTTTAGCTCCTGTGTTCCTGTCAAGCGAGCACAGCACAGGAGGCCGTCTCATTGGCTGTTGGTTAAGGAGTCAGGTGGGCACCACTATGAGCACTGACGGGACGCTCTTCTTTTCTGTTTGGTCGCTCGGCAGAAGCAGCGATGCGTCAGTGGCTACCCTGTGGTTTCATCGATCTTTTATTTGGTAAAGGTGAGAAAAGGGATAAAGACAGCGGAAAGGGCGCGCGTACTGTTGTGGCCTTTGTCGTGCCTCTGTCTCTCTCCTTTTCGTGACCTTTTCGGCCACGGACGACGTCGGCCCAACGCGATCCCCAGCCACGAGAATTCATGGCTCAGAATGCCTCCCCTCGCCGACTCGGACGCCCAGCTGGCATCCGGTCGCCCCTGGGTGACCGGCGATTCCCGGTCTCCCCCTTAATAAAAGAATAAGAATAATCTTACTCGCCTTTTTCTCACAGAGAGCGAGGGGGAGGACATGCGATTTGATTGCCCTTTGGGAGTTCTCGGGACGAGCGATCGGACGGCGCAGAGGACATGTCCGAGGTCAAGGACCCCGCCATCAAGCTCTTCGGCGCCACCATCCCGGTGGCGGCTGCCGCTCTGCCTCCGGCGGAGGCGGACGCGGTGGATGTCGAGGATGAGGAGGCCGACGCGGAGTCCGCCGCTTCTACGGCGATGGGGCAGAAGGTGAGGGGATAAGCCACCGACTCTCTTTGTTTTCTCGATCGGACCTCCTTGTTTCCTTAGGGCTTCACAAATACCTGATTTTGGTTTGGAGAATGATTGATTATTTTTTATTCTCTTTCGCCTCGTTCTTTTCCGATAAAGTTGGCGGTTTTGTTGTAGGTTGGACCTTCTGTTGTTTTCTATTAGAATAGGCGAATTTCTGGTGGTTATTTCTTCTTCGTCTTGTTCTCGGTTCGAGTCGTTGTCGATGCTTCTTCTTCCGCGTTTCTTCGATAAGCCTTTTAATGAAGCATGGTAAGATTGACGATTTTGCATCTCGTTCTACTAAGTTCTTTGGAAATTTCCTTAAGAAAATATAGAAATTCATATATGGACAGCAATTTCCCCATCATTTCGCTTTCTTTGGGCTATCTTTAATTTATGTTGCTAAAAGCCTAGGTCACAGTTACATGATGCGGCAACTTAATGCAGTTCAGCATTCTAATATGTGCATCTGGACATCTACTACTCATTGATTGCGTATGCTAGTTGGTATCTGATTTATTTTTCTCTTTTAACAAATATTGAACTCATTTATTATGAGTGATTTGCATATTTAACGTTGTTTAGTTTTTTGTGAGCGTTGATTTCTTGGTTTTTCCTAGAATTTCAGCAAGAGAGAAAAAAATAGTGTTTGTTGTTATTCTTGTGATATGCCCCTTTCTTGGGGATATCGTGTGGCTTTGTATGCTTTACTGTTCTGTTTCGTTGGATTATATCCAGCTTATGATGTTATGTCTGCCACACCTAAAATTTAAGCTTGTGGTCGGCTGATTAACTTCTACAAGAATAAGGCATATTTCCATCCAGATAATTGATGGGAAAAGGGTATGGAAAAAAGTAAAAGAAAAGGAGAATGGGACTGTGACAAAAATCTCTGTTACTTGAAGATGTGTGGACTTTATAGCACGAATAATTCCTATTTGATGAGAAGCCATCTTTTCTAGGTTTTTGATAGGAGATCTACTTGACTCTTATTTACAGTTGCAAACAAGTGAAATTAGGTGGTGGCAATGTTTTAGTTTCATTAATCTCAAATTTTTGTCAAATTCTGCATGTTAGCTACAGATCAACCAAATTTGACATGTTAGGTACAGATCGACTGTGATATTTAACATTCCTCACTGGAAGTACATTCTCAATATCATTTATGATGTTGATTATTGCTTTTTTTGCTGGTATGCCCTGTGCCCATAATGTGCAGCTGTGAGCCCTATGCCAAACATCATGAGCCAATCATCATTATCAGTTTAGTGTCAGTGTGACTGATGAGGCAGTCTGTGTTATCAACTATCAGTTTTTTAAATTGAAAAAGGGAAAAGCAATGAAACAGTTACAAAGCTTCCTTGGGAAATTCGGAACTCCATTGAATATTTTGAAGTTAATTGTGAGGCATTGCCCCTGTTTAATAAAATAAGGGGTCACATGGCCTAAACATGACCAAGTTGTAGAACATGCTTTTTTTTTGGGAAGCTGGATTAATGGTATTCTGTGAAGTACTGCATAGGCACCAACAGTTGCTTTGCCATCTGTTCTTTTCTCATATTTTTTCTACTTGCAATTGATTTCACGTCACTTGTAGAAGTTATCCACCATTTGAAATAAGTTTTGTTAGACATTTTGGGTGGCCTTCTCCATCAAACACCCTCGTTGGAAACTTTGCTGCGTTGATTTTTATTTGTCATGAATGGACAAGTTGGAAATTTTGTCTCCATGGTTACAATAGCTACAATTGATGAGACGTGGGTGAACTTTTGACTTTCATGTATGCATTGACATGTTGCCTATCTCCTTCTGAGAAGATGGGAAATTTGTTTATTAAGTAACACACATGGAGCCGAATAAGACTGAAATAACCAATATGTCCATGCTTACTACTGGAGAAGTAAAAAATGGGTGATTGGGTCTAAGATCAATGTCCAGTTTTAGGTTAAATTTTTCTGATCATTACTGCAAGAATCATCATATTTTTAAGGACTTCTACTATGTCTACCCCTAGACTTTGTTTCCAAAAAGTTGAAGATCCAATAAGAACTCAAGTCTGTGAAGAGTGAATGCATTTTTCCACTTGAAAGATGTGTTGTAGGAAGAGTTGGGTTAGCCTTTGCCAAAAGTGCCCTAGCTAACCTTAATGTATGTGGTGTCTTGTAATTTGGTGCCAGAGAAAATTCAAGGGGTTGATCTTTGGCTATGTAGTTTTGGGGCAATACTAGTTATGTTTTGGAGTTTTTACAGTAAGTATTAGTATTTTACTTACCCGTTGAAAGTTAGCTATCAAGTAGCAACGTAATAGTTGAGTGGATATCTGTGTTCACAGGAGTGCTGTTTTAGCCTGTATAACATTTAGGTTAGCTTATATGACACAAGATTGGCATCCTACTCTATGTAGGAGTTCCTACAAAGGAGAATGACCAGAATGAAGTGCGGAGATAGAAAGGCATTTAATTCTTAAATTCATTCTTGTCTATATAAAAAGGAAACTAACCATATGTAGGAAAAAGTCTAAAACTTCGAAGAAAGAGAGTTTAACTACATCAATAATTGAAGATTTTAATAGATTGTTTATAAGGTCCGGACTCTATAGGGGCTACATCAAGCCTCCTTTGGTTATGGTCTTTAATAAAGTTTTCTTAGGTCTTCCTCTACCTCTTGCACCACCAGTCTTAATTAATGTGCTTCAGGTAACAAGTGCATTTGTAGACCTCCTATGGACATGTTCATAACATTTTAAATGATTTATCTCTTATTTCATGGAGAACTATGCCTATTTCTGTGTATCACTTGAACTTGTTAGTACAAACATGGTTCTGAAACATTTGAAATCATTTCTGTGCTTAATTTGGGGTCATCTTTTGTTGACTAGGATTGTTTCTTTTCATTATGCCATTAAACGTATTCTACATGATAGTTTATTAAGCATCTTGTTTTGTTATTGTATTTTAGGATACAACTAAAGAAATGACAAATATGGAAGTCAACGATGATTCGGCTACAGCACCTGATGAAGAGAATGAAGTTGCACCAATTAGTTCATCTAGGTTGACTGGTACCAATGAAGATGACAATAAAACCTCTATTGCAGATGAAAAAGAATCAACAAAACATAAAGCTGAAGACACCAAAACTGAGGCTGATTGCTCTGTGCCGGAGAAGGTCCTCAAGAAACCAGATAAAATTCTACCATGTCCTCGCTGCAATAGCATGGACACCAAATTCTGCTATTACAACAATTACAACGTCAACCAACCTAGACACTTCTGCAAGAATTGTCAGAGATATTGGACTGCTGGAGGAACAATGAGGAATGTCCCTGTGGGTGCTGGTAGGCGCAAGAGTAAGCATTCAGCTTCACAATGTCGCAACTTAGTGATTCCTTCAGATGGATTGCAATCTGCTCAACTAGATGCTCTTAACTTGACTCATCATCGAGCTCTCCCATGTGTGCCTTCCACCCCTTCACAACCTCCAATAGGAAACGGGACTGTCCTTAAATTTGGACAAGAAGTTCCTCTTTGCGAGTCCATGGTCTCTGTGCTCAATATCCAAGAGCAAGGCAAAGATTCTGATTCTGGCTCGATGATACATGGAGAGAAAAGGGAGGAACCATCCTGTGCATCTTCTGCAACAGCCTCCAATTTTGTGGAAAATGGATCTGCTAAAACTGTAGTCCACGTGGAACAAAGTGGCATGCAAGTTTACTGTAATGGACTTGCACCCCTGCCTCATTTGCAGTGTTACCCTGGGGCTCCCTGGGCTTACCCATGGAGACCAGCTTGGAACAATGTTGCTGTTATGGAAGCCGGTAAATGTTCATCTGAATATATATGCAGACCAGGGAATGCAAATTCAAGTCCAGTTCCATGG